CACGAGCATGGGGCAGGGAGGGAGCCTGAAGCGGAGACTGTACTTGGGGGGCCTACCGTGGTGGGTTTTCACCTGCAGAAAGGGGGTCTTCAGTTCAGGTCTCCACCCTGGGGCATTCTCTGCTTCCCCTCGTTGACCTGGGCACAGGAGATCCTTGGGAGGAGGCTGGTCCCGGGTCAGGGAGGCAGCACCAGGAGAGATATAACCCCCCTCCTCCCATTTCTAGGCACCTCTGAAGGGGACAAGAAGACTGAGAAGAGCCCAATAGATGACAAGGTAGCCATCATCCTCACCCTCAGCCCCAAAGGTCCCTGGCCTTGGAGCAGCGTGGGCAGAGGCTGCAGGGATCTCCCTGCTGGGCTCCCCAGGGCTGTCCTCAGCCTCTCTGGGCCCCCAAACCCCTCTATCCTCCTCCCCCAGAACAAGAAGCCACAGCCAGGGATTCGTGGTGGCTATCTGCAGTCTCACTATTTTGTGGCACTTTATCGCTTCAAAGCCCTGGAGAAAGATGACCTGGATTTCCCGTAAGTTCCCAGCCATGTAGTGGGCACAGGGATGACAAGAGAAAGGATGTGGGTGTCCAGTGAGGAGGGGGAGAAATCTTCAACAATGAGGCTCTCACGGCCAGGAGAGGTCTGTGAATGAATGAATGAGGGCAGAAATTAGAGCCATGCTGGCTGTGGTTTGGGTTTTGTGGCTTTTCTGCCTGCCCCAATGAGCTATACATTGAGTGGGGGCCCTGGCTCTTGCTGAGCCAGCTCTCCCACCTCCCATGCTTTGGGCACAAGCCTCATTTCCAAGGCTGCTGGTGTTTGTCTTGATGTGGTTTCACTGATTTCTTGCACCCCAGACTTGAGGCTGAACTGCTCACATACAGGACCTACAGGACCTGTCTGTCCCTGAGCCCGTGGGCTGTGTGCGTTCTTCGACCTCCCCTGACACAGGGCTCTAGGAGCTGGTGCTGTGGGAAGAGCAATTTTCCTTGCCAACCTCAGGGTCTCCCATGGCGGGGGGTCCCTGCCCCCCCCTCTCACTTAGCCCTTCCTTCCCTTCACAGGCCAGGGGAGAAGATCACGGTGG